AGAGGCTTTTGGGAAAGGGAGAGTCCCAATTGAGGGAGAAGGGCACGTGTCTCACTGAGGAGAAAGTTGCCCATGCGGTGAGCGCCCCAAAGCCATAGTAGACTCCAGGAGTCGGCAAGAGGACACTTACTGAGTAGGCAAGGAGAGATGGATGGTTAGATAAGGTGGAGGGAGGAAGCAGCTGAAGAAGCAGACTTTAGGATCAAATTCGTCAGGAGGCAAAAGCCAGGAGAAAGAAATGATCCCTACAAACCTTCGGAGAGTCAGCGAAGCAGCTTGGTTTGTAGCAGCCTAGTTCCTTGGGTGAGAACTCATTTATGGCACTCACATGGTTTTGGCACCAGATGAATGAAAAAAAAAAAGAAGAAGAAATGAATAAAGGAAGGACATGAATGCTCCTCGGTATGGTGGAGCAGAAAAAAATTTTATCAATAAAAGGGTGAGCATAGCCAGAGATAGGAACATACTGGAGAGTCCAGAGTGGACATGACCTGACATGACCTTCCATGTGAGGAGAGGGTATGGGAGGGAGGGAGGGGCTAGAGCAGTTGCAGACCAAGAGGAGAAACCTGGACCAAGAGACTGGCCAAGAGAGTAGACAAAAAAAGACCAGGTAACCAAATGGTTAGATTATATAGAGAAGGGCAACTGGGGGAGGAAAGACCAGCAAAATACCTGGGCTGGAGAAGTTTAAGACAAGGAGCAGGGTATGCCAGCCAGGAAACTCCTGTAAAACGAGGGACTGAGGGATGATGGGAGAACCTGGCAGCCAGGACTGTCTGGATATGTTAAATGGGCACTTTAACAATATGTCCAAGGCAGGAGTCCTAACAGGCTTTCTCAGCCTGTACTCACATATAATCCAGGAGCAGCTTCACAGCTGCTGCTCCATGCAACTCCGAGGTGGACGCCCTCACATCAATCATTAATCAAGAAAACCCATTACAGACTTGCCTAGATGTAATCTGATGGAGGCATTATCTCAAATGAGGTTCCTTTTCCCAGATAAAACTAACCTGTCAAATTAACAAAACTAAAACAGAAGTCAGGACATGATTTGAAAAATAATATCCCCTATAGGCTCAAGTGTTTGTTCACTTGTCCCCATTGGTGGTGCACTTAGGGGAAGACACATCCTGATCAGAGACCAGCTGGAGGAATACTTCATATCCTGCACATCTTCCCTCACAGCTCACTACTCACAGCTCACCTTCACAGTGAAGCCATGCTAAGCACTCTAGTAAAACAGTCACCCTGTGCACCCACACTGTTGATCACCTGTCAACTATCACTTGCCTCCTTCTATATGAACATCATCCTTTGTGACTCTGCAGAGAGTCTTCTCTCTTCGTTCCACACAACACGTAAACTCAAGGTTGGTTTGCACTTTGAGACTGTTTGTAGTTCTCTGATGGTTTCTACGTGGAAACATTTCCTATTTTTATATTAATAGCCCTCAACAAATGTCAGTTAGATTTGGGAATCATACAGTGTTGCATGAATCTTAAAGAGTCTTATTAATATAACAAACCTAGAACCAGGTATTGGGTGAACGCTGGAAGATCAGAGAAGCAGAACAAGCCACAGCTACCTCACCTCGCCAATTCCTCAGCTGGTCTTATTTCCTCAGACTGGAAGCCTCTGAGTCTTCATCCAGAATGAATCTCAGCTGAAATGTGTTGCTCAAAGCCTAAAAGCTTAACCAGCTAAAAGCTTCTAGTTTCTGATCTTCGTGCCTTATATATCTTTCTGCTTTCTGCCATCACTCCCTGGGATTAAAGGCTCACTCTCTGGGATTAAAGGCATGTGTCACCATGCCTGGCTGTTTCCAATGTGGCCTTGAACTCACAGAGATCCAGAGGGATTTCTGCCTCTGGAAATCTAGGATTAAAGGTGTGAGTGCCACCATTTTCTGGCCTCTGTATCTAGTGGCTGTTCTGTTCTTTGACCCCAGATAAGTTTATTAGGGTGCACAATACCACCACAATACAGAGCCCAGCTCTCCACTGTGTTAACAGGGACAGACCTGTTGAGTTAAGGCAAAAACTCAGATTATGGGGTGGTGAATTCCAGTCAGTCTAAGCTATGGCTCCTCTATGCAGAGGCTCTTTCTTGAACTCTGGAGTCACACAGATGATTCTAGGTCAAATATTGATTTCAATATATCTCCACACACTTTGACTTTGTATGGATCTAAAAAACAAACATGCCTATGTGGATTATATAAGTATATGCTGACTGTCTTAGGAACTGAGATTTTGAGACCCTAACTTCATTGAAGATAATGTAAAATAACTGCAACCTGGGGTCAGAAGTTGTATTTGAGGATCAATGCACATTTCTTCCTATCAGAGGGTCATGCAGGGCTTGGGAATTCTGATTCTCATGATTGTCATTAGAACAGTGGTGTAGTATGAATCTTAACAGGTCTTATTAATAAAACAAACCTGGGGCCAGGTATTGGGGTGAATGCTGGAAGATCATAGAAGCAGAACAAGCCACAGCTACCTCACCTCGCCAATTCCTCAGGTGATCCTGTTTCCTCAGACTGGATGCCTCTCAGCTGAACTGTGCTCAAAAGCCTAAAAGCTTAACCAGGCAGAAGCTTCTAGTTTCTGGTCTTCACACCTTATATACCTTTCTGCTTTCTGCCATCACTTCCTGGGATTAAAGGCGTGAGTCACCATGCCTGGCTGTTTCCAGTGTGCCTTTAAACTCACAGAGATCCAAATGGATCTCTGCCTCCCAAGTGATAGGATTAAAGGCGTGTGTGCCACCATTTTCTGGCCTCTATATCTAGTGACTGTTCTGTTCTCTGACCCCAGATAAGTTTATTAAGGTACACAATATCCACCACACAGTGGATCCTCAGAGACCTCTCTCCAGTTCTACTAGCAGAACTGGGATCTCAGACACTTTGGAAAATTTCAGGCATGGCCCTGGGAGACCCTCATCTACTCCCCATGTGTAAAATCCTTCTGCTTAATTCACCGCATCTGAGGCTTTATCCCAGGAGTCACTTCCTTGCTTGAAGGACCTGTGTTCCAAGTAGCATCCCAGAGGACAGGCCTGGAGAATTTGTTGGTGAAATACCACATGAAGAGTGAGTCTGTGGGCAGTATGAGATGAGCCCCCATGACCCTCCAGCAGGTTACTCCCTGAAAGAAGATACATTGGCCAGAAGGTTAGGATGGCATGGATGCTGAATGGGATCAGAGGACAGAGAAGAGAGATATGTAAGCTCTGTACACAGATAGAAACAAGATGACTAGGACACCTCTACAGAGATCAGAGGATATGGGGAAGCTGAGCTTACATGTCCTCTCTTGGATAGAAGATTGCAGCCATGCCCTGTTGTTGAAGGACTTCAGGGTTTGCTGGGAAATGTGCTCCTTGCCTGAGGCAGGTAGTCAGTTCTACAGACACACTTGCAGGAAGATCCCCATCACATGCTTCAGAAACCTGACTCCTTTGCCTTGTTCCCCTCTTTAGGGGATCTTCTCCTAGTACTGCTTAACAAGGGTTGGAGAATCTGTCATATGCATTACCTCTGGGATCCAGAAAAGCACACAAGAAAAAATGCTCAACTGTGCTTTAGGACCCAAATGTAGTCTGTCCTATAAACATTCTACGGGAACTGGAGAAGAATCTCTGTCCCCCAGGCGTTGCACAGAGTGTCTATACTGTCAATAAGGTTAGTTTTACAAAGAATACTATTGATTTTATCTACCATTAGTACATAGTACAACTTTGTTCATCCTTATAATATTTACTTTTTTAATTCATTCATTTATTAGATTTTAATGACTTTCTGTTGTGGAATGTCTTTCTGTATGCTGTGAATATGTGTTGCTCTGATTGGTTGATAAATAAAGCTATATTGGCCTATGGCAAGGCAGCTTAGGGCAGACTGGAAATCCAAGCAGATATATGGAGAGAAGAAAGGACAGAGGAGAGAGATGCCAGCCTGCTGCCCAAGGAGAAATAAGATGCCAGCAGACTGGTAACACCACAGCCACGTGGCAATATATAGATTAATAGAAAAGGGTTGAGTTAAGTTATAAGAGCTAGCTAACAAGAAACCTGACCCATAGGTCATAAAATTTATAAATAATATTAAGCCTCTGACTGATTATTTTATAAGCGGCTGTGGGACCAAGGGGCTAGGTGGGACCTGAGAAAACATCTGGCTACAATTTCCTTTGGAGACAGGGTCACAGTATGTAGCTCAGGTTGATTTTGAACTTGCATACCTCCTGTTGGCAGAGCCTCCTCCTTTTGGTGTTACTGACATATTGTAGCCCTTTGTCTGTTAGAAACCAGGCTTGGACTCTAACAAACTTGGTGAGAATACCACAGACATCCATGCTTGGACAATAGCAGAAACACTCCACACCTGTGTCAGTGAATGTCAATAACAGAAGACATTGACACCAGAACTGAGAACTAATGCAATCCCTGTACTACCATTAATCTAAACATCAACTGATGGAACATCAGAATCAGACCTGAACAGGCTGACGGTCAACATGAAAGAACAGCACAGACACTGGACAGACCCTACAAATGCCTGAGATCTTTTGATCACATGTCCAGTTGAACAGGTTTATTGAAAGAACAGGGATTAGGAGCTAGCAAGATGACACAGGAGGAAAGGGACTGTGTGAGAGCCCAGGGTGGAAGGATCAACAATCGTGGAGACACAGGGATCACTTGTCTCTTCACAGCCTTTACTATCATGAGAGACAATGGAGTTAGCACAGCACACACGATTCTCTACCAGGTTTTACTCATCTTTAGTTCACTAATTAAATACCCACTCTGAAAGAAGTTGTATAATCATAAAAATGCTTACTATCAAGAAAGATGAATTAAGTTGTAGCTCAGTGAAAACTAAAGTTCAGTCAGGGGTGGAGGTTTGCCAGCCCAGCCTCTGTTGGAGCAGCAATGATGACTGGGGAAAGAATGATGATCAGTGTGTGGATGGGACTTACTACTGCTCAGGGCAGGGCTGAACTCATCGCCTGTTCACACTGTGCTGTAAAAGAAAAGATTAAGAAAGAATTTCAGATCAGTGTCTTAAATAGTGATATACTGAACAGCTGATCACACAATCACACTGTCCCAATACCAGGAATACCCATGCCAGAGGGTGATATCCTCTGACCTCGCCCTGTCCCATACCAATTCCTTTAGGATATCACTTTTTAAAGTTGTAACAATAGGCTGGACATCATAGAAATTTTACCTCCCAGTAAAGTGATACAAGAGCAGATCAAAGCCTCTGAAGATGGAACTAAATGAGGAAGTGTGGGCTGGCTGAGAACCTCCATGGGCTCTGGTATATACTGCCACAGGTGTCTCAGAGATGAGCCCACAGTATAACAACTGGCAAGCATGAACATAGCTACCTAATCATTTACTCCTGGGATTAATCCCTTTTATTAGAGGTCATGGAAGGAGCAGGATCTAGAAAGCCTGGAGGAATCTCCTGGTTCTTATCTCAGCAGTTTCCAGAACAGTGACTGCAGATCCAGAGAAAGATGAGGAAACATGATAGTACATCATACATGAAGAGGACTAACTGGACTCGTGGATATGTGTTCTAAGTAAGAATCTTTTCATCAGAACTCTGAGAGCTGAGGATCAGGCCTCTGCCACCTCTATCATTGCCGTGATGAATCTGTGCATTATTTCCTTTATGCCTCACAATAGAGTCAATGTCAGCACATCAGCACAAGACTGAATAAGCAACTGTGTGGAGGAATCTTTGCTCTCATGTGTCAGGACACACTCTCAGCTGGACTTGATATTCCCATGGAGACTTGAACTCAGACCTTGCCCTTTCCTTACCTTTAGTCCTCCTCTTCCATTTCAGAAAAGTCACCACAGATCCCAAAAGCACAGCTCCAAGAACCAGGCCAGTAACAATTGTCATGATGGGGACAGAGGGCTGAGAAGGCTCTGACAGAGAATGGAAGGAACAGTAAGGCCTCTGACCTACAGCTATCATTTGTGACCCTAGTCCAGTTTGGCCAAAGGACACACACTCATTGTAACAAGCTCAGTGATCACACAACTTACCCCATGTCCCGGTAATGGGCTCAGGCAGCCCCTTGTGGTACACATGACAAGTGCATATCTGCTCCTCCTAGGAAGGCACCACCACAGCTGCCCACTTCTGGAAGCTTCCATCTCCTGCAGGTCTGGTCTCTATCATATCCATATCCATAGTCTGATTGCTCCCATCTCTCTGCCAGGTTACATTGATTTTAGCATGATAGAATTTCATGGCCCAGCAACTTAGAGTGATATTCCTATCAGTTCTGACCTTATGAGTCACATGTATTTTGGGGGTGTTGGAAGGGAATAAATTGGAAAATTCAGGCTTTTTCATTCTTCCTGAAGATCCATCAATGTGCATGCAACCTTATTTTGAATGAACGGGACAAAAGGACAAATGCTAGGACAAAAGCGGACCCCACACACCGGCCAAATCTCAGAATAAAAATGAGGTAATCTATTCCTTGGAAAGACTCAGAATCAGCATCAGCCAGCACAGAGCAGGAGACTTCTGTGAATACGGACTTCTGGTTTTGACTAGATGGTAACTGAGACTCAGCGACACTGGACTCAGACCTCCAAAGTACATGGACAGCGAACAGGCATGACTGAGATCATGGTTCACAAGGCAAATGGAAGGGAAATGCTGCTTAATTGACAGACTGAACTATCCTGAGAGAAGGCTTAGTCCTATCACAGCCCCTCTCTCTTATTGAATTAGGAAACCCATGACACTCTACTTCTTTGATTTAAGACTGAGTTAGTATTCAGCTTCTCCCTGCTGAGGAGGAATCTCAGGGGACAGGGCCTCCAGTCTCAGAGCAGATGTGGCAGTTTCTATCCTTACCTGTTCTCAGTAAAATCTCCTTCCCATGCTGCAACATTGGGAGGAGAAGCTGCACACATTTACACTCCAGTAATTTCTTCACGTATTTTGCAAAATCTGACTTCTTCCACTCTTCGCTCAGGTAAGTAGCAGCCTTGCCAACTGTCAGCCAAATGCTCCTGTTCACAGCCAGCATAAGGACATCATTGGGTCGAAGAATAATTGAAATTTTCCATCTCTGTAGTGCCCTCCAGGCAGTACATCACAGAACATCAGGATCTTGAGTGTATAATATCCTGTCCAAGACCTAAATCTCAGCCATGCAATTTGTCCCCATACACTGCTTTTAGGGTCCAAAGTCCCAGAACTAGGTCAAGCCAGGATAGCAGTGCCCTAGAGATTCCTCTTCTAGGAGTTCATATTTCCATGTATGGCTGGGGGAGCATAGGGTAGCATCAGACATGCAGAAGGAGAGAGACTTCCTCTGCCTAAGTTGTCCCTCCCTGCTAACTCCAAGGGCTATGAGGTCAGATGTGGCTCAGGTTTCAGCACTTGTCTAGAGGCTTGGTGCTGTGTCCAGGTATAGAGGGGTCTCTAGGAATTGCTGGAGGAAGGTATCCAGGCCTGAGCTGGATAGAATATTTCACATACATGGGAGTGAAGATCTCCACCACATGAACAAGAAACCTGCCCTTTATTGTCTAGGCTCCTCTTTTAGGAGGTCTGCTTCTTAGATTTATACCTAGGTAATGCTGGAGAAACTACCAAGTGCCTGACCCTGTCCCAGGCCCTGGAATCCAGCAATGAGTAGTATCATTGCCTTGAGATTGGAAGGGTGGCTTAGTTTTTAAAAATGATAACTACTTTTACAGTGGACCTGAATTCATTCCAAACATCAACAAAGTGTTACTCACAAACTCTTGGAACTCCAGCTACATGGGATTTGATGTCCTCTCCTAGATTCAATATGCACTTCCAATCTATTGGCATGTACTATACACACACACAAACATACACATTAGAAAAACCTAAAACTAAACCATAAACCAATGCCCTCCATCAAAAACAAGTTTGGGTAGCTGTGAAGTTGTCATACAAGCCCAGTGGCAGTTTGTGTTAGTCTGCTTTTCAATTGCTGTGACAAATATCCATGAAGAAAATCAACTTGAGGAAAAAAGAGTTTTCTTCATGTGACAAATCCCAGGTCACATTCCATCATTGAGGTAGTTAGAGCAGGAACTCAAGGGAGGAACTTAAAACTGGAACTTAAATAAAATCCTTGGAGACTGCTACTTATTGGCTTGATCAGACTCCGTTGGACACAATCCAGGACAAAATTACCAGTGCTTTACAGCATGAAGAGGGAGTTAGGCCCTTCTACATGAAACATTAATCAAGAAAATGTCCTACAGATTGGACTGCAGGCAATCTGATGGAAGCAATTTATCAACAGGGGTTCCTCCTTCCAGATCATTTAGCTTGGGTCAAATAAACAAAACTAAATGGAAGTAGGGACATAGCTCTAATGATAATATCCCCTGTAGAGTCAACTGTTTGCTCACTTGATCACTACTGATGATGCTCTTGGAAAATTTTGAAGCTTCCTGAACTAGAGCCTAGCTGGACAAATCCTTCACATCCTGAAAATCTTCTCTCACAGCTCACAGCTCACCTTCACAGTAAGGCTATTGCTAAGCACTCAATAAAACACTCACCCGACCTGTCCCACGACCATATGGTGCATTACCTATAGCCTACCACCTGTCTCCTCCTATATGAACTCTGTCTTTTGTGACTCTGGAGAGTGTCTTCTTTCCTATTTTTATACAACATATGCAAACTGAAGTCAACTTGCAGTCTAAGACTGTTTGTAGTTCTCCAATGGTTTCTACATGGAAACATTTCCTATTTTTCAGTGATAACCCTCAACAAATGTCAGTCATATTCCAAGATCACTGCAGAGTCCAATTTTCCACTGGGAGAGTGCAGTTGAGTTAAGGCAGAAATGCAGATTATGGGATGGTGAACACCAGCCAGTCTGAGCCCTTGGTCCTCTGTGCAGAGGCTCTTTCTCTCTCAAACTCTGAACCCACTTACATGGTTCTGGGCCAAAGACATGGATCCAGGAGTAACAGATAAAAGGTATGTGGTCAGGGGATCCCTTCTGCTTTATAAGTGGAGTCTGAGTCAGTACTGGTCTCTCTTCACTTTAGGACCCTGATCTGGTTTAGGCTGATGGGCTTCTCTAAGAATAACCAGTAGAAGAGAGAAAAAGAAAAATGGTTAGTCATGTAAAGAAAAGAACAGCTCTTGGAAAACGTGAGTCCCTACAACCCAACTCCTTACTCTCACCCAGCTCTTTGTCTTGGTATCCCTGGAGCAGTGTCTGGGGACAACTTGATTCACCCTGATCCATGTCCTGGCCTTGGTCAAAATTTTCTTCTGAGTCCCAACACTGGGAGCAATATGTCAGCTATTCTAGAGCATTTTGATCTCAATATGTCTACACACATTTAGATATTATGTGAAACTAAATGTTAAACATGCCTACATGGCTTATATCAATCTATACTGACTGTCTTAGGAACTGAGTGTTTGAGACACTTACTTTATTGAAGATAATGTCAAATAATAGCAACCTGGTGTCAGAAGTTGTACTTGAGGATCAATGCACATTTGTACCTCTCATTGGGGACATGCAGGGCTTGGAAACTCTTATTTTCATGATTGTCCTTAGGAGACAATCATGTCAGAGACACCACTCCAGTTCTACTAACAGAAATAAGATCTCAGACACTTTGGGAATTTGTGGCCATTGCTCTAGGTAACTCTCTTTTCCTACTTCCTGTCCTCAGGACCAATGTGCTCCATTCACTGCATTGGAGGCTTTATTTCAGGAGTCATTTCTTTGTCAGAATGGTTTGTGTTCCAAGTAGCACCCCTGAGGCCAGGCCTGGATGATTTGCTGCTGGTGCAGTGTGAGGTCAACCCCTAACTCTCCTCCAGTTAGGACCCTGGTACAAGGTATATTAGCCAGGATGTTTGGGTACTATGGATGCTGAAAGGAATCAGCAGGATAGAGAAGAGAGAGAGATGTAAACTCTGCCCACATGTAGAAATGAGACGACTAGGACACTGATACTTAGAATGCGGAATATGGGGAAGATGAGCACGTATGTCCTCTCTTGGACAGAGGATTGCTGCCATGCCCTGTTGTTGAAGGACTATGGAGTTTGCTATGAAATGTGCTCCTTGCCTGAGGCAGATAGTCTGTTCCACAGACACACTTGCAGGAAGATCTCCATCAATGCTTCAGAAATCTAACTTTCCTGCCCTGGTCCCCTCTATAGGGGATCTGCTCCTAGTATTGCTTAACAAGACTTAGAGAATCTGCCATGTGCATTTCCTCTGGGATCCAGAGACGCACACAAAAGACAATGCTCAACTGTGCCTTGGGGCCACAAACACACTCTCTCTTGATTAATGTTCTATTGGAACTGGAGCAGAATCTCTGCCCCCCAGGCATTGTAAAAACAGATCTAGACTCTCAATTAATTTAGTTTTATAGAGAATACTATTGATTTTATCTACACCTTTCCTTTTGATCTCTTCTCTCTGACCCTCTCTGTAGACAGGTTTTAACATAGGATTCTTTATTTCATTTTGAAGAATTTCCATTTTTGCTGTGGGATGGTCTTTTTGTCAAATGTGTTGCTGATTAGTCATTAAATAAAACACTGATTGGCCATTGGCTAGGCAGGAAGTGTAGGCGGGACAAGGAGGAGAATAAAGCTGGGAAGTGGAAGGCTGAGTCAGAGAGACACTGCCAGCCGCCACGATGAGAAACAGCATGTGAAGATGCCGGTAAGCCACGAGCCATGTGGCAAGGTATAGATTTATGGAAATGGATTAATTTAAGCAGTAAGAACAGTTAGCAAGAAGCCTGCCACGGCCATACAGTTTGAAACCAATATAAGTCTCTGTGTTTACTTGGTCGGGTTTGAGAGGCTGTGGGACTGGCAGGTGAGAGAGATTTGTTCTGACTGTGGGCCAGGCAGGAAAACTTAAGCTACAAATGGCATCCAACGTGGTGGCAAGAGTTTCCACCTAAAAACTGAGAAAAAAAGATTCTAAAACGGAGCTAAAAACAGCTTCCTAATTGTCTCTCTCAAATGAGTGGCAGCTGCCGGTTTGAGCTACTTGTGGGTTTCTGTTGTGCGTGCTCGACCTGCAGTTTGGCGGGAATGAGGCCTCTGCAAGTGGCACATTAAGCTGCATGGTGGATTTAGCCTTTGCAGGTACAAAACAAAAAAAAAAAAGAGGTTTCTGGACTACACGCTGCTTGGATAAAAGCATAGACCCATGATAGCTCCCAGAGCTGGTGGTAAACGTAACCATGTTGGGAAGCTGAGGTGGGCGGAGCCAGCAGCCACAGCTGCTGCAGTTTAAAGCCACAGATTCACAATAAGACAGATTCAGATGTAATAGTTTACAATGTGTGTAAAATATACGTAGGCTTAAAAGAGACAAAAAAGGTGATGTATAGAGTTATAGAAACAAATACATAGTTTTAAAAAATAAAGTCTTTAAAGAGACAGTAAAGGTAGTATAAAAAATAAGCCACGTAAAAATGGATATTACACAGAGAATCTGGATTGTGTTTTCTTTGGGATTTTTAACTGCAGAAAAACATTTGATTGTAAAAGCTGTTGAGTTAAACCAATATATATATTTTAAAGATACCTTGACTTCAAAATTTGGATATAAGGATATATTGCTTTGGAAAAGAGTCTCTTTTGTTTCCACAGAAATCCAGAGGCTATGGATTTGTTCAAGATTAAGATACATCAGGTTTGACCAGCCAAGACCCCCTGAAAGGTCTCCGATGACACCATGGCCCAGATGATCCAACATCCAGAACGGTTTGAAGGCATCTGGCTCAGATGATACAGCCTCATGGACTATTCCATAATCCTAAAATTTTCTTTGTTTCCCCATAAGATACAGCGCCCCCCTCCAGCAGGAAGTAGTAAGAGAAGCTACGCCCAAATTCCCAAATTATATGTAATTTTACTTTGTTAAGGTTAAAACCTTCCTTTTTGAAAAAAAAAGGGGGAAGTGCTGTGGGATGGTCTTTTTGTCAAATGTGTTGCTGATTAGTCATTAAATAAAACACTGATTGGCCATTGGCTAGGCAGGAAGTGTAGGCGGGACAAGGAGGAGAATAAAGCTGGGAAGTGGAAGGCTGAGTCAGAGAGACACTGCCAGCCGCCACGATGAGAAACAGCATGTGAAGATGCCGGTAAGCCACGAGCCATGTGGCAAGGTATAGATTTATGGAAATGGATTAATTTAAGCAGTAAGAACAGTTAGCAAGAAGCCTGCCACGGCCATACAGTTTGTAACCAATATAAGTCTTTGTGTTTACTTGGTCGGATCTGACGGCTGTGGGACTGGCAGGTGAGAGAGATTTGTTCTGACTGTGGGCCAGGCAGGAAAACTTAAGCTACACATTTTCATTTAAATCCTATGTGTATGCTTTAAGTAACTACTATAAAATCCTCAAGAGACTTAAGCAGTTCATTCTCAGATATTGCCCAATTTATATATTCCACATAACTTTCTTTACAACAACCTACTTCCTGTCTGAAATTCAAATACTTAGTTGAGATTTCTGTAGAATGGCATTAACATAGTCCGTTTTTGTCCATCCCTTATAATATTACTTTTTTTTTTTTGAGCTGAGGATCGAACCCAGGGCCTTGTGCTTGCTAGGCAAGCGCTCTACCACTGAGCTAAATCCCCAACCCAATATGACTTTTTAATTCATTCATTTATTTATTAGATTTTCATGACTTCCTTTGGAGACAGGGTCTCTGTGTATAACCCAGGTTGATCTTGAAGAGTCAAAAAATTCTCTTGGCAGAGCTCCTCCTGCTGGTACTACTGACATATTACAGCCCCTAGGCCTGTCAGAAACCAGGCTTGGACTCTAATTTGGCGAGAACACCACAGACATAATTTGGACAATGACAAAACACTCCCTACTTGTGTCAGTGAATGTCAATAACAGAAGACAATGACACCAGACTCAAACACAGAACTGAGAACAAATGTAATTCCTTTAGAACCATGAACCTAAACATCTCTTAACGGAATATCAGACTCAAGCCTGAACAGGCTGACTGCCATCATGAAAGAACAGCACAGACACTGGACAGACCCTACAAGTGCCTGAGATCTTTTGTTCACGTGTCCTGGTGAACAGGTTTATTGAAAGAACAGGGATGAGGAGCTAGCAAGATGACACAGGAGGAAAGGGACTGTGTGAGAGCCCAGAGTGGAAGGATCAACAATTGTGCACACACCAGCCTCACGTGTCTCCACACAGCCTTCAACTGTCACTACAGACAACGGAGTTAGCACAGCACACACGATTCACTAAAGATCAGAGACTTTATTTTCTCTATCAGGTTTTACGCATCTTTAGTTTAGCAAATCAAATACCCTCTCTGAAGGAAGCACAACCACAAAAATGCTTAATTTCAAGAAAGATGAATGAAGTTGTAGCTCAGTGGAAACTAAAGTTCAGTCAGGCGTGGAGGTTTGCCAGCCCAGCCTCTGTTGGAGCAGCAATAATGACTGGGGAAGGAATGATGGTCAGTGTGTGGATGGGACTTATTGCTGCTCAGGCAGAGCTGAACTCGTCACCTGTTCACACTGTGTCACAGGAGACAGACACACAGTCACAGTTAGATGCAGGAAGAGAAGTCATCAGTTTTAGAGGCCACAGTAGGAAAAGAGAAAACAGAATAAATCCTGTTAGGCTCAGTCCAGCTGTCTTATTCTGTAGAAAAAAAGAACAAGGAAGAAATTCAGATCATTGTCTTAATTAGTGATATACTGAACAACTCATCACACACTCAAACTGTCCCAATCCCAACAGTGCCCAAGTCCCAAAGTTCTATCCTATGACCTCTCCCTGTCTCACATCAGGCCCTTTAGGGTGTCACATTTTAAAGCTGAAACAGAAGCCTGGACATCATAGAAACTTTACCTCCCAGTGGAAAGTGATACAAGAGCAGATCAAAGCCTCTGAAGATGATACTAAACAAGGAAGTAGTGGCTGGCTGAGAATCTCCATGGCTCCTGTATATACTGCCAATAGTGTCTCAGGGAAGAGTCCTTAGTACAATGACTGGCAAGTCTGAACAAGGCTGCTTCACCATTTACCCTTGGAAATAATCCCTTTTTTTAGAGGTCATGGAAGCAACAGGATTAGGAGGCCTAAAGGGATCTCCTGGTCCTTATCAGAGAAGTTTCTAGAACTGTGAATGTAGATCCAGAGAACGTTGGGGAAACCTAATAGTAGATTGAACATGAATAGGACTAATTGCACTCCTGGTGATATGTTCTAAGTAGGGACCTTTACATCTGACCTCTGAGGACTGAGGATCAGGTCTCTGCCACCTCTATCACTGCAGTAATGAATCTGTTCATTATTTTCTTTATGCTTCACAATAGAGTTAATGTCAGCACATCAGAACAAGACTGAATAAGCAACTGTGTGAAGGAATCTTTGCTCTCATGTGGCAGGGCACACTCTCAGCTGGACTTGATATTCCCATGGAGACTTGAACTCAGACCCTGCCCTTTCCTTACCTTTAGTCCTCCTCTTCCATTTCAGAAAAGTCACCATGGCTCCTATAAACACAGCTCCAAGAACCAGGCCAGTAACAATTGGCATGATGGGGACAGAGGGCTGAGGAGGTTCTGACAAAGAATGGAAAGAACAGTGAGGCCTCTGACCTACAACTTTCAGTCATGACCCTAGTCCAGTTTGGCCAAAGGACACACACTCATTGTGACAGGCTCAGTGATCACACCTACATCTTACCCCATCTCACGGTAATGGGCTCAGGCAGCCCCTCATGGTACACATGACATGTGTATCTCTGCTCCTCCCCAGAAGGCACCACCACAGCTGCCCACTTCTGGAAGCTTCCATCTCCTGCAGGTCTGGTCTCTATCACATCCATATCCATAATCTGATTGCTCCCATCTCTCTGCCAGGTTACATTGATTATAGTATGATAGAATTTCACGGCCCAGCACCTTACAGTGATTTTCCCATCATCTCTGACCTCATGGGTCACATGTATTTTCGGGATGTCTGATGGGAATAAATAAGGAAAATTCAGGCTTTTTTCATTCTTCCCGAAGATCCATCAATGTGCATGCAACCTTATTTTGAATGAACGGGACAAAAGGACAAATGCTAGGACAAAAGCGGACCCCACACACCGGCCGAATCTCAGAATAAAAATGAGGTAATCTATTTCTTTGGAAAGACTCAGAATCAGCATCAGCCAGCACAGAGCAGGAGACTTCTGTGAATATGGACTTCTGGTTTTGACTGGATGGTAATTGAGACTCAGCGACACTGGACTCAGACCTCCAAAGTACATGGACAGTGAACAGGCATAACTGAGATCATGGTTCACAAGGCAAATGGAAGGGAAATGCTGCTTAATTGACAGACTGAACTATCCTGAGAGAAGGCTTAGTCCTATTAAAGTCTCTCTCTCTTATTGAATTAGGAAACCCATGACACTCTTCCCCCTTTGATTCAAGACTGAGTTAGTATCCAGCTTCTCCCTGCTGAGGAGGAATCCTCAGGGGACAGGGCCTCCAGTCTCAGAGCAGATGTGGCAGTTTCTATCCTTACCTGTTCTCAGTAAAATCTCCTTCCCATGCTGCAACATTGGGAGGAGAAGCTGCACACATTTACACTCCAGTAAAGTCTTCATCTGTTTTGCAAAATCTAACTCATTCCACTCCTGGCTCAGGTAGGTAGCAGCCTTTCCAATTGCCAGCCAAATGCTCTTGTTCACAGCCAACATAAGGACATCCTTGGGTTCGAAGAATATTTGAAATTTTCCATTTCCGTAGTACCCTCCAGGCAGTACATCACAGGACATCAGGATCTTGAGTGTATGATATCCTGTCCAAGACTCAACTCTGAGCCAATCTCACAGGGACAGGTCCCTTGGGGCCCTCCTGTGGCTGAGTCCCTCCCACATGCCCTTTTTAAATGGCCACATTGAGCTTAAATTGTACAAAACACCATGTCAGTTACCCAATGCTCTCTGTAGCCTAGTCTACTTGGGTCCCATTTATGGGAGTAAATCTTGGATATGGGGAACTGGATTGGGGAATTGGAGCAAACCTGTTGGGAGCTTGATATTTGGGATTTCTGATTTGGGTTCACTCACCACTTTCATTTTCTTTGTAGAAGTAAAGTATTTTCTTCAGAGCATCCTTGTAGATGTCCACTAAGCTCAGTATGTCCTGTGTCCTCTTCTCCCAATACTCTGGCTCCTGCTGATCCACCCATGGTGCACAGTGCTCCAGTCTTGGAGTCTCTGCTCTGCTGTTGAATCTCTCAACATGAAGATCATCCAAGTAGACATCAAATATGAATTGGGGCTCCAGGAGGTGAGGCCCGGTGATGAGAGCTTGCAAAAAGCTCAGAGAGTGTGAACCTAGGTGCAGTGGGTCTTTAGATCTACAACACCCCACATAGTTCCCTATGAAGCTCCCCACATTGCTCCCAGGGGAGCAGCAAACAGGGGACCAGGGTTATAATATAAAATAAACCAAGGCGCAGAAGGTCTTGTCTAGGCTAGGCAAGGGACAGATTTTCCTGTGCTGCAGCCCCAGAGATGGAGTCCTTTTTTCTCCCAGGTTAGGTCTTTTCCCTCCTGACACCCACACTCACCCTTTGGATGCCTGGTCAGGGCCAGGTTGGCCAGGATCAGCAGGAGGAGAGCCTCAGAGAAAAAGGTCTTCATCCTGCTTGAAGAGTGGACACTGAGTCCCTGCTAGTCTGAGTTCATTTTATAATCGTATGATGGATGAGGCTGATTGGCTTCTCTAAGAATTCCCAATGGTAGTGATAGGGAGCATTGTGGAAGAGGATCCTCTAGGGCCCTGTTTTCCCAGCTCAGATCCAGCTCTGGGACTTTGGACCCTAAGAGCCGTGTATGGGGACAAGTTGCTTACCCTGGTTGTTGTCCACCTCATCCTGGTCAAAATATCCTTCTAAGTACAGTCCAGAGGCCATTAAGCCAGCATTTCTCACACTGACATGTCAGGATGTCTAGAGTCTTAGAAATTCATTGACCCTCAAAGGTATTTATGGATTATATCAACCCCTGTTCACTGCGGTAGGAACTGAGAACTTTAAAACATTTCTTCATTGAACATTAATGACAAAGTGCATGTAAGCAAAATGTTAGCAAAAATTAATGACTGTTTTCCAAAATACAATGATAGGGTGAAACTAATGGATGTTGACATGCCTGCCTGTCCTTATCCTCCCCTTTCCCACTTGATATATCTTGGATTCTGATTCTCCTCTTTAGCATTTTAGTTTTGTGTACAGTGTATGTACCTGCTCAAAAATATACATGGAAAATAGTTTTAAGATTTATCCTTATTTTTGTTTATATGTATATTTTCTGTGTATGGGTGTGTGAATTTGGGAGTACAGCAGTCTGTGGAGCCCAGAAGCAGATCTAGGTAAACCTCACTAGGAGGAACAGGAGCATGTGAGCTCCCAGACTTCTAGGACTCCAACTGTGGATATCTACACAGTTAAGACATCTCTCCATACTCAAAGGATAGTTTTTATTAACATCTTCAAATCATTTTACTTTTACCCATTTTTTTTGAGGTTTGCCTAGAAGTCATAGTCATCCACATGCCTCTGTCCTCTGAGAAATGACAGAATCTATGTACCACCATACTGGGCTCACTGTAGATTTTTATCTTTGATATTTCACAAGGTTCATTTAGGTGTTACTTACATTATGGAACTCAAAATATTATTGAATCCTTCATAGTTTGCTGCATCCATGTCCATAGGAGAATCAAATTCATTCAGTTATTAAACTTTACATTTCAAAATTAGAGTATTATCTATAAAGGTCATTGTTGTGCGTATTTCTTAATGAATTTTTATCCTAAATGATGGGTAGAGATTGAGTGTAGAATTTTCCTTATTTACTTTACAATTCTGATAACTAGGATGAGGCTCACTGGCTTTTCTAAGAATTTACAGTGTGAGTGACAGAGTCATGAAATGTCATGGATAGATTAAAGAATGGAAGCAAAATCTCCAGAGCCCTTATTCTCTACCACAGATCGAACTCTGTGCCCTGGTATCCTGGGAGCAGTGTCTAGGGACAAGTTGCTTACCCTGATACTTGTAATTGCCATGTTGACAATATCCTTCTGAGTCTTAGCCCAGATGTTGATCTGGCTGACAGAATCAAGGAAGCAAAGGAAGCCAAAGACCTATGTCTACCACTGAAGCATCCACCTCTGGTTCCTGAGCTGGGCTTCCCATGGCCTCACTGTTATGTCATGGTCCTTTCCTGTCCAGCTAAGTCCATAGCAATAAGCCTTGGCTTCCTGGAGATTTTATCTCATAGATATCTGAGGGAGGCAAAAATATCAGAATGGGAGGAGATAATACAGTCCATGTCCCCAGAGAACATAGAGGATATGAGGCAGGAGCTGAGGAGGATAAAGTGCTATTGACAGAACTCTGATGATTCCCAGCTCAGACATTGTGGCAATATCTCCACATGACACAAGGCTGATCCCTCTACAGATACCTAAACCCAGGCATCAAACACAATACTCTGGACACTCATGTGGGAGCTTCTAAACACATGATATTACCCAACTTGGGAGTGAAATGGCCACCATTCCTTATCTGTGAGACTTAGGATCCAGCTGTCTTTTCTTTTTTTTTTTTTTTTTTTTTCCGTTTTTCGAGACAGGGTTTCTCTGTGTAGCTTTGCGCCTTTCCTGGGACTCGCTTGGTAGCCCAGACTGGCCTCGAACTCACAGAGATCCACCTGGCTCTGCCTCCCGAGTGCTGGGATTAAAGGCGTGCGCCACCACCGCCCAGCCCCAGCTGTCTTTTCTAATACCCTCCCTTTTATTGAGTCCTATACAGAGCTGGCCTCTCCTTGCCTCAAATGTGTACACAGAGCCATCATTTCTTTGTTCTGATCTCATCTTGGTGCCAGAATCTGGGGCTGTGCCATGGGGCAAGTTATATGGTTGCATAACTGTGTCTTGGGCAGGATGAGAGATGGAAACCAACAGGAATTCTGGACGGCGAAGACTCCCTGTACCTGAGATGCCCCCTCCCCTGTCTCCACAGGCTGTGAGGTCAGATGTGGCTCAAATTTTATCTCCATAGACTTGGTGCTGTGTTCCAGGTGTAGAGGGGGCTCTAGGAGTATCTGGGTTAAAGTCTGCTGGCCTGGAATGGACAGGATGTCTCAGAAACACACACACACACACACACACACACACACACACACACACGCACGCACGCACGCACACACACACACACACACACACGAAATAGAGATCTTCAGCACATGAACAAGCAACCTGCTTTCCTTCTCTAGTCCCCAATTTTAGGAGATTGCTTCTCAGATTTACTCTTCAGTAAGTGATGCAGAATCTGCCAGGTAAGTCGCCTTGTTCCAGGCCCTCGGATTCAGCAATGAAAACCAGGCCAAAATCACCACCCTAGGATTCTGAAAGAAGGCTTAGTTGGTAAAAGTGCTACCTACTCTAACAATGGACCTGTGCTCATTTCTAAGCACACCCAAAGGGCCACTCATAGCCTCCTATTACTCCACCTGTGAGGAATTTGATGTACTCTTCTTGCAAATTGGACAGGTACCCCCAATCAATTAGCATGTACCACACACACAAACATACATATAAGTAAAAACTAAAAATAAACCATAAAAACCAGTGCCCTTGGTCAGAAAAAAGTTTGAGTAGTTGTGAAGTTGTCACCCACGCCCACTGGTGGTGTGGATTATTCTGCTTTTCTATTGCTGCGACAAAACACAATAAGCAAAACCAAATCGAGAAAGAAAGAGTGTGTTTTATTTGATAAAGCCCAGGTCACAGTCAATCACTAAACAAGTTAGAGCAAAAACTCGAGCAAAATCCCTGAAGAATGCTGCTTACTGGCATGGTCAGCCTGCCCTCTATGCCATCCAGGAACAAGTGCCCAGCCTTTGCTTTGTGCAGAGTGAGTTGGGCCATCCCACATCAATGATTAATCAAGAAAATGTCCTACTTACTTGCCCCCAGGCAATCTGGTTGAAGGGTTTTATCAATTGAGGTTCCTCCTCCCTGATAAGTCAAGCTTCAGTCATATAAACAAAAATAAAATAAAAGTCAGAACAAGGTTTGAATGATAAAATCCCCTCTAGGCTCAATTCTTTACTCACTTGGTCACATCTTACTCACTTGGTCACATCTGGTGGTACTCCTGGGAGAAGTTGTGAAACTTCCTAAACTAGAGTCCAGCTGGAGGAATCCTTCATGTCCTGAAAATGTTCTCTCACAGTCACAGCTCACCTTCACAGTGAGGCCATGCTGAGCACCCTAATAAAACAGTCACCTGACCTGTCCCACACCCATACTGTGGATCACCTGTCACCTACCACTTGCCCCCTCCTCTATGAACACTGTCCTTTGTGACTCTGCAGAGTGTCTTCTCTCCTTGTTCCACACAACACATAAACTCCAGGCTAGTTTGCACTTTGAGACTGTTTGCAGTTCTTTGATGGTTTCTACAAGGAAACATTTCTTATGTAATAGCCCTCAACAAATATCAGTTATATTTAGTGATCACTGCAGAGTCCAGTTCTCCACTGGGGGAAAGAGAGAGTGCAGTTGAGTTAAGTGAGATATGCAGATTCCCAGACAGTGGACACCAGCCAGGCCTGTGCAGAGGCTCTTTCTGTCTTGAACTCTGGGCTCACACCTAGTTCTGAATGAAAGATGTGGATCCCGAATTAGCAATAGAATGGTGTAGGGTGCAGGACTCCTCATTTTCATTTTTTTCTTTTCCTTTTTTTTCTTTATGTAGTCCTGGCTCTCCTGAAACTCACTTTGCAGACCAGGCTGGCCTGGGACTCAGAGATCTGCTTGCCTCTGCCTCCTGAGTGCTTGGATTTAAGGTATGTGCCACCACCACCTTACTTCTCATTTTGCTTTGTAAGTGGAGTCTGGGTCAGTACTGGATTCTCTTCACTTTATAACCCTGATCTCATTTAGGCTGATGGACTTCTCTAAAAATTACCAATAAAAGAGAGAGAAACATGGTTAAATGGGTAATGCAAAGATCAGTCCCTGGGAACCAGAAATCACTACAGCCTGTTTTCTCTCTCCAACCCTGATCTTTGGCTTGGTACCCCAGGAGCAGTGCCTGGGGACAAGATGCTTTTCCTTGATCCATATCCTGACCTTGATCACAACATTCTTCTGATCTCAGAAGAATGGTCAATATGTCAACAATTCTGGAACATTTTGCTCTCAGTATGACTACACACACTTAGAAATTGTGTGGACCTCAAGGTAAATATGCTTATGTGGTTATATCCATCCATATTGATTGTGTCAAAAACTGTAAGTTTTGAGACATTCAACTCATTCATGATAATATTAAATAAGTCAGACTTGAAGACCCAGGATCATTTGGTCCTATTAGAGGGGACTTGTAGGATTTTTGAATTCTGACCCTTGTGACAGGTGATCAGGGCAGGGTAATGCAGACAGTGGGAGATCAGCTCCCCTAATCAGCTCAGGGTAATAAAAGGGATAGCTCTGAGCAGCCAGGTGTAGGGAACTTTTTTTTTTTTTTTTTTTTTGGTTTTTCGAGACAGGGTTTCTCTGTGTAGCTTTGCGCCTGTCCTGAAACTCACTTGGTAGCCCAGGCTGGCCTCGAACTCATAGAGATCCGCCTGGCTCTGCCTCCCGAGTGCTGGGATTAAAGGCGTGCGCCACCACCGCCCGGCCGGTGTAGGGAACTTTTTTATCTGAGTTTAATCAGAAACAAGTTTTAGTCTATCTAGGACTGATGAAATAAGAAACCATGCATGCTTTCTGATGTTAACTTTTTCTTTTACTTCACTTTAAAAATGGTCTCTGACTCTTTCTGTCTCCACACGGCTCCATATCTCCACACTGCTGCATACAGCTACATACCTTTACACACATACATTTTTCACATGG